GATGGTGAGACAACACTGTTTTTTTCGCCAAGAAAGAGAGTGAAAACTCTTGTTTGATGAGATGTATTATAGAAAGTGTTTAGCAAAACTCATACTGGTTTAAATTTTTAAAATTTTCACATTCACTTGCGTTGTTTTAACATGATATACTCTTTTAGTTCTTATGTTAGTGAAACATCTCAATTTTTTGTTTATACATTTTACCGCCTTTTTATCAACACAATTTATCATGTAATGGAGTCTTAGATTTATCTTTATGTTTAATTCTTTGTCCCTTTTCCCAATAGATAAGAATAAAAATAGAGGTAGCGAAATGGCTTCCTTGTCGAATAAATGAGTTGATAAATTGTTATAAGTGATTACATATTTTTTCTTTTCTCTCTGTATGGATATGGCATTGGAATTCAACCCTTCTGAAGCAAAGAAATCCCAAATAGATAGTGAGATAACATTGTTTTTTCTGCCAAGAAAAAGAGTGAAAACTCTTGTTTGATCAGATGTATTTTAAAAGTATTTAGAAAAACTCATGTTATCTGCCACAGTGGGAGGTCTCTTTCCCCTCCTGGATTTCCCCTCTGGGGTCCTGCTTCCACACACTCTCTCTTGTGGAAGCTTTCTCTCTTCTCCTGTTTCTCTCTAAATAAATAAATATATCACTTTTCTGCAAATAAACAAAAAGAAAAACTCACATTGGTTTAATACCAGAATGAGAATTTGCTTCTTACCATGGGAATGGCACCATGCCAATTGTATCATTCTTATGCCTTTGTATCTTCATAGCTTAGCTCCCACGTATGAATGAGAATACACAATGTTGGATTAAATGTCCTGTAAGGTCATGGGTCCTTTCCAGCATATAGCTTCAAATTCTGTGATTTTAAAATTATTTCAGAGATGAAAACTACTTGAAGCACTATAGACATATCTATCTGAAGTGCTAATGTTACAGGCTTTTTAAAAAGTGCTATTACTAAAATTGAGATTTGCCTTCCCTCAGTTACTTTGAACCTCATTGTAGATGCTGAGGGCAGATGGAAGCACATAACTTATGTAAGAGAACTTCTTGTTTCTGCTACACAGTATCAGTGGGTAACTTAGGAATACAGTTACATATATCTGAAGAGTTGTATCTGTTCATAAATATTTCAGTTAAACTAACTGAAGATACCTGCCATTGATATTACACTGTGTCGTGCTACACTACCTTGTTAGCACTGCTTATTTCAGGATTGCTGTACCTATATCATTGATGTCATGTGAGCTTATGTTTACTAATATATTTTCTAATAATTATGCAAAAGCAATTTCAATTAATTTTATTTGTTATAAACCACTTTCGTTATGTTATGCATTTTTTTGGGAAATAATTTAAAAAATGGGTGGGTAGGAGACCGTGAACTAAATTAAAATGCAGGGCCTAACATCTTAAAAAAGAAACCACTACTGTGCGGCTGAAATTTAAACGTATGTACACATAGATATAAATTGCATGAGGTAGGTGGCTCAAGCTGTAATCCCAGCATTCTGGGAGGCTGAGGCAGGCAGATCAATTGAGGCCAGGAGTTTGAGACCAACCTGACCATCATAGCAAAACCCCATCCCTCCTGAAAATACAAAAATTAGCTGGGCATAGTGGCACAAACCTGTAGTCTCAGCTACTTGGGAGGCTGAGGCATGAGAATTGCTTGAACTCAGCAGGTGGAGGTTGTGGTGAGCCAAGGTTGCTCTGGGCAGCAGAGCAAGACTCTGGGTCACACAATAAATAAATACATAAAATAAATTGCATGTGATCAAAGGTGTTATGGTAGAAGAACATATAACAGGTAAATATGTTATTTATATATCATAATCATCAACAGAAACACGTTCTAACAGTGTATTGTATTGCCTTGCATTTTTGTTCTCATATTTTTGCTAAAATCCAAGAAATGAAAACAAGAAAGTGTCCTTATGGTACTGTTCTGAACTAGGAGGTTTTAATTTCAGGGCCGCTAGGAGAGTTTCCACCACACCCTTTTAAAAAAATGTCTTCAGACCTAACAAATGCTAACATCTATTGTTATGAACGTTTTTCCTTCCACAGTGTGGCGTTGGATATATTACCTTATCAAGAAAAGGTAAGCTTTTTTTAAAAACTGTCTTGTTATTCTGGCTAATTACTTTGCAAGCTATCAAGCTCTTCGGGTCGCAGCTCTAGACATCATGAGCTGTATTGGGCCTACCAAAATATCCAAGCAAATTACTTGTGTTTTCCTTTGTCCTTAAGACTTTTAATTCTTAAAATGATTGGGAATCTCAAAGAGTATGTGTTTACATTGATGATATTGATATTTACTGTCATAGAACTATAAAATTGAGATTTTTTTCAAAATCTATTTTTAGTTTAGATTTCACAGCCTTACCACTGGTGATATCTTGATCTAGATAACACTTTGTCACAGGACTGTCCTGTGCATTGCAGAAAGTTTAGCAGCACTGGTGGCCTGTACCAAGTAGATGTCAGTAGTAACCCATGACCCAGGTGGTGACAACAGCAAATACTCCTTGAGAACAATATTGTTAACATAAAATTTTAATGAGAAAATAGATTTTCTACAATGAAAAGTTGAGTAAAAAGTGTGTCATGTATTTATATTATTGAAGACCTTGAATGTCGCACTTAATAGAAGACAGCTGGATTCTCTAGGCCTTTCTTTGAAATTTGCTTTAAAGAACAATAAGATGGCCAGGTGTGGTGGGAGGCACCTGTAATCCCAGCACTTTGAGGAGGCCAAGGCAGATCATTTGAGGTCAGAAGGTTGAGACCAGCCTGACCACCATGGTGAAACCCATCTCTACTAAAAATACAAAAAATAGCTGAGCATGCTAGTGCATGCCTGTAGTCAAAAAAGGGAAGCAATGACATGACCTAATCTCATGCAAGTATGTAGTTGGTAAAAGGTGCATTTTTAAAGCTTTGAGACACTTGTGGGTATTTAATAATAAGTGAAAACTTGACAAGTGATACTTTTTTAAATTAGTTGCAGTGGTATTATACATATTAATAAATTTATTTGGTCAGTACTCACTAATCTGTCTTTCATGGTTAATGGATCTTTCCCCCAATACTTGCATTTATAATATCATGCATTAGTTATTTGGAATATATTGGTTTATGTTTTATTGTGTCAAAAATTACTTTGAACCACCAATATTATTTTAAAAGTCTTTAAGTGTTGAAAAGCTGTCAAGCCTACAGTAGAAGGAACGAGATTTCAAAGTCCTCAGGAAAGCTTAATTTGTGATTGGGAACTCATGTTTATTTTCCTTGAAGTGACAACCTCAGTTCATTTATTTTTGAGAATGATAGTTGTCCCTTTTTTTTAGACTGAGTCTCACTCTGTCACCTGGCTGTAGTACATTGGCATGATCTCAGCTGAAGCAATTCTCTCACCTCAGACTCCTGTGTGGCTGGGACCACAGAGGTGTGGCACCACGTCTGGCTAATTTTGGTGTATTTTTGGTAGAGACAGAGTTTCACCATGCTTCCCAGGCTACTCTCAAACTTCTGAAGGAGCTCAAGTGATCTGCCTGCTTTGGTATCCCAAAGTGTTTGGATTTTAGAGGTGAACCATTGCACTAGCACAGTAGTACTTTTAAATAAAAACGATGTTCTGTGAAAAAGGTGATTGTTCAGTTCACGATTAAATCATGAAGTTTTTTAAACACAACCATACTGCAGTCAGCAGAAGTGCTTCTTCTTAGCTTTCTACTGATTCAGAATATTAAAGAGACATGTCGAGATTTAGTAACACCATTAATTTTTACCACCTCAACAAAGACATTCTTAAGGACTTTAGGCTGTTTTTTAACTGTAAGGGACAATAAAGAACAGAATTACTACCAGTGTAATTGGTACCACTGCCTTGATTTAGGCTGAGGAACCAGCAGTTTTATCCACCTCTGCTTTTATACAGTTATGGCAAGTGTCTATGAAAAAGCAGTCAGGGTCTTTGTATTACTTTCTTAATTTAAAAAAGAAATTTTTTTAAATCAACTTTCTCAGGTTGAATTATTATCATTATCAGAACAGTGTCCAGCAGAGATGGTGGCTCAGGCCTGTAATCCCCGCACTTTGGGAGGCCAGGCAGGTGGATAACCTGAGGTCAGGAGTTCAAGACCAGCCTTGCCAGCATGGTGAAACCCTGTTTCTACTAAAAATAAAAAATTAGCTGAACGTGGTGGTAGGTGCCCATAATCCCAGCTACTTGGGAGGCTGAGGCAGGAAAATCACCTGAACCTGGGAGGCGGAGGTTGCAGTGAACCAGGATTCCACCATTGCACTCCAGCCTGGGCAACAAGAGTGAAACTCCATTTCAGGAAAAACAAACAAACAAAAAAAAACAGTGTCGACCTCTTAGGCCTTCTCAGAAAGGGTCATCGGGATCCCCAGAGGTCCACAGAGCACATTTGGAGAACCACTGGTTTATCACATAGGCACGATACATTAGTTTTACAAAGTTTAATCAAAGACTAGCCTCTTTTGAAATAAAAAGGCAGATGAGTTTTTAATTCAAGCAACAGAAAACAAATACATTGTGAAAGTATACTACAGAGAACTAAAAGGAAGCTAGGAAATCAGAATCACATTTACATTTATTAAATTCTGAAGACTTTATTGCCCACCACTACTGCTTTGTAAAACATTCTTGTGTTTCAGTGTGTGGTTAAGAAGAGTAAATATATGTTTGGTTTACTGCCATTGCCTGTTAGGGAGGGTCAATACCTATAGGCAGCTCTGACTGGTTATTGTGAGAAGGACTTCACAGTACAGGACCTGATGTACTGAGGAAGAAAACGTCGGGAAACCTGCAGGGCAGGATCCAGGAGAAGAATTTGTAAAAACTGTTTGCTTTGGTGAAGTAAACATCAAAGCACATAGGAGGCATTATTATACTAAATAGATACTATACTAAGATATTAACAGTTTTTGAAGTAATGCACATTCTTATTTTATAGAGATGCAGATAGAACTTTGGGCATATTTGATGAACATTTATACCCATTTACAGTAAGTGGCACTTTATTGAGGTTGTATTTTCATCATAGACTTGTATTTGTTTCATGCTGAAGTCAAAGCCATCTTTAAATCTTCCCCATTTCGTGTTGCATTTAATCCTCTTAGGTGTTGTAAAAAGAATGTGTTGGAATAAGAACTGATCTGCAGCTCTGTTTAGTTAGTGATCTACTATAAGTAAATATACTATCCTAATAACAGAAAATGTATCTTTTAAAAGACAGTTATTAGTAGCATCAAGCAATATGAGTATATATAATAACACAGAAGCGTGACTTTTATGAATAGAATTAAAAATAATTTGTTTAAATCAACTTACATGGTTTACAATTTTAAAAATGTGCTTCCTCAAGTACATAATAGCCACTTGTGGCTAGTGACTATTGTATTTAACAGCATAGGCTTAGAGCCTCATGGTTACAGGAAACTGGTATTTTCTCAAAGTTTATTGCAGAGAATGACATACCATCAGTAAGGCATTAAAGCCTAAGAGTAGCTTACATTTGGATAGAATTATGTGGGGCAAAGAGTAAAAAAGAACAAAAATTTTCTGAACTTTAGCTCATATGATTTTTAAGTGAATGTTGATGAGTATTAAATCATTATGGTATTTTAAGATCCCACTGTTCAGATTGTAAAAACTGAAAGACATCTCACCAATCAAAATTATTGTAAATGATACATGGGTACAAATGTAAACACTGCTGTCTTAAGAGCGCTTCAGGTTCTCTCTTCAATGGATACTTACATTGCATCCTTTCTTCTTTCAGCGAGGACAGGTTCCGGAAGAATACTTTATATATGATCCTGCACACAAAATGATTTTCAAATTCATGCGTACCCTGTTTCATGCCAAAGGGCTAAATGCTGACTTAGCAATCATAAGTTTGGTAAGATATTTTCTATTTATAAAGCATCTTTAGAAATTGGTCTTGTAGAGTGGCCTAGCCAATGTGGTAAAACTTTGTCTCTACCAAAATACAAAAATTAGCCAGGCATGGTAGCACGCCCCTGTAGTCCCAGCCACTCGGGAGACTGAGGCAGGAGAACTACTTGAACTCAGGAGGCAGAGTGCAGTGACCTGAGATCAAGCCAGTGTACTTCAGCCTAGGCAACAGAGCAGGACTCTATTTCCAAAAAAAAAAAGAAATTGATCTTGTAAACAGGGTAGTATGTTCCTGATTTTAAATGAAAGTAGGTTTCTGAAATTATTTCAGAACTTTAAGAGAAACTTATGAAAGCAAATACACACATTTAAGTTGATTCATCATTATGGCTTAAATGTTGCCTTGCATTTCTCATTACAGAACAATTGCTATTAAAGGCAGCAGGAGGGATTTCTGATTTCTCCCCCCACACTTCAGCGCACACATGCACACGCAGTGCGCATACATCCAGGGCATGTGGAGGGCTTGGATGAAGAGGAGTAACAAGACCATTTGGTTCATGGGCAGGAATGCGTGGCATTGTAGGTCTAAGCTGAGTCCCAGGGTGTATCCCCAGGCAGTTCTCATGTATGTTGTGATTGAGAGCTACTGCCCTCCATTCATTGTTCCTTGGATGTGTTAATCTACCCCCGCTGGGCAGAGTAGGTAGCAGAAATATTTGGACTGTGATTGTGATATGGCCCCTTACTTAACCTGATGAAACAAAGTCTCTGTAGAACATAAGAGTAAAAGGCATCTACTTTCTGGTCAAAACCAGAAGTATTCTGGTTTTTCATAAGAATTCTTATCACAGCACTTAAATTGAGCTAAATCAAAGGCCAGTGCTCTGTTTTGCAGGTATACATAAAAAGACTTCTAAAGTGTGCTGATATCAACATTTGTCCATCCAACTGGAAGAGGATTATCTTCGGAGCCATTCTTCTTGCCATCAAGGTTGGGAGCAATGTGGCTGTGTGCAATGAGGATGCAAAGTCTTTGAGAAAATGACAGTTGACGATATGTGAGTTTGTACAGTTTTTGTGAACTTTCTAACCATTTTTGAATACTTTATTTGCTCCCATAAACACTTTGAGAAATACTTTTAAAGGTTACATTATGCAGATAATAAGAATGGGCATAAATACCACATACTCTTTCTCCCCAGCTTTAGAAGAACAGTTCATATTTTTCACTATTCATTGGTAGGTCTTGGTAAATTGCCGTTGTAGTAATCTCATAAATGGAAAAGTATTTTTCTGGTGAATGTTTTTGGCAAATATCTTAACAGTGTACAATGAGAAACATAATAGTACAGTCAGTTTCCTTATGGCTTTTACAAGCTGTCTGCAAGTTCTAGTCTCTTTGTGAGGAGTGCATATCTGGCCTTTGAAATAATTGTTTGCCCATTGATAAGTCAGAGGCCTCTGCATTGTGAAGTATAGCTTCACCCTGAGTCATAACATCGTGTATTTGCATTTGCTGGTGTTCTCCCGCTTTTCTCTGAAGATCTGTTATGTAGAAACCTTGAGATACAGAATAGCCACAGTTCCCTGTGCCCCTGTCCTCTCCCCATTAGGAGTGTTGCATCACTGGGCTGATGAGTTAAAAGTTCCAGTGTTCCCCTCAGGCAGTCTGAGAAACATTGCTGGGGCATCACCCCATGCTCACCACACTCAGGAGGTTCCTGGGGCATTAATGCAACCACAGCAGCCCTTGGGGGGGCCCCAATTTATCTATGAGAATGCAAGAAATCTTGCTGAATCGTGGAGTTGCTCATAGACGGCAACTTGACACTGAAACAGGAGCTTCATGGGTCTTTCTTCCAGTCTGGCCTCATGACTGCTGTAAAGGGAAGGGTCTTGGAGCTGGTTGGTAGGGTGAGCCAGGGAGGCATTTCCAGCAGAGGCTCTCACAGTGTCCACTAGACAACGAGAGTGGCTTTGTGGGTGACACTTAGGAAAATCTGAAGGAACACCTCTTGATGACATAGAAGTATATGAAGCATATGAAGATGAAGATCCTCAGGCAGTGGAAAGAGGGTTTTGTTTTTTGTGGTTTTTTTGTTTGTTTGTTTGATTCTTTGTTTTTACATTTGGCCTATTACTCCAGATAAAACTGATTCAGGATGTATGCAGTCACAAATAGAAGTTTCTGCCAATTGCGCTCCGCACAGGAATAACAACTTTAGCAACTATCTAAAAAAGCACCTCCATAAGAACTGAAAATTATTTAAGTGTTCATATGACATGGTTTTAACATCATATCACTGAAAGAGGCACTGAACAGCATAGAAAAGACAGTCTTGAATTGTTGATGCCACCACTGTGAACCTGTGGCAAGGAGAGAGGCTACATACTTGGGGAAGGGAGAGCACCGCAGCTGTGGGACTTTGCCTGAACTCAGTGCTGCCTCATCATAGCATAAAGCAAAACAAAGCTGAACCCACCCAGTACCCACCCACAGAAAAAACATTTAGACTAGCCCCAACCATAGGGGAATTACTCATCCCCGTGGTTGGAACTTGAGTTGTGAAAGGCTGGCTGCCGTGGGATAAAATAGTCTGGGGTCCTTAATAAACCTGAAGACTGTTTAGGTCACAAGGACTGCAACTCTTAGGCAAGTCCAAGTGCTGTGCTGTGCTTCAGCCAGTGTGTTTGGGGGCCCACCCCTCCTCCAACCCTGGAGAGTGCAGAAAGACTTCTTTCTTCCACTTGAGGGGAGGAAATAGGAAAGAGGACTTTGTCTTGCAACTTGGATACTTGCTCAGCCACAGTAGGAGAGGGTACTGGTCAGAATCATGAGACCCCCATTTCAGGTCCCAGCTTCAGGATAACATCTCTAGACAAACTCTGGGCCAGAAGGGAACCTGCTACCTTAAAGGGAAGGACTCAGTAATGGCAGGATTCATCACTTTGTGATGAAAGAGCCCTTGGACCCTGAAGAATCCTCAGTGGTGAGCAGGTAGTACATGCTTTGGGCCTGGAGTGAGACTGAGAGATGTGCTGGCTTCAGGTGGAACCCAGCACATTCCTAGCTGTGGTGGCTATGAGGAAAGACTCCCTGTGCTGGATAAATGCTGAGGGAAAAGTAAAGAGGATTTTTCTTGAGCTTAGATACCAGCTCAGCTAAAGTGAGGAGAGCACCAAGTGAGCTGTAGGAGTCCATGATCCAGGCCTTGGTCCTTCAATGGCATCTCTGGACCTACCCTCGGCCAGAGGGGAGCCCACTGCCCTGAAGAGTGAATTCCAGGGCAGGCAGCATTCACAAGCTCACTGAGAGCCCTTGGGCATTTAATGAACATCAGTGGTGACCTAGCACTGATCTCCATGGGACTGCTATGATGTTCTGAGTGCGGACAGACTACTCTGCCATGGGGAAAGGGAGGGAAGAGTGGAAAGGGATTTTTCTGGTGGATTCAGTGCCAGCTCAGCCATGGTAGAACAGAATACCAGGTGGATGTCTAAGGTTTATGACTCCACCCCTGGCTTCCAGACAGCACCTCTGAACCCATCCAGGGAGCAAGGGAACTTACCGCAGTTAAGGGAAGGACAGAGGACTGGCTGGCTTCACTACCTGCTGATTGTAGAGCCCTGGAGCCTTGAGTGACATAGGTGGTGGCAGTGGGTAGTTGTTACAGTGGGCCTTGTGCAGTCACAGAGCTGCGCCACCTTCAGACCTAGTGCCGTCTGGACAGACCTAGTGGTCGTGGCCACAGCGGTGCTTGTATCACTGCTCTCCTAGCTCCAGGTAGCCTAGCACAGAGAGACGGACGTCATTTGCGGGAAAGTAAGGGAAGAAGCGAGTCTTTGTCCACTAATTTAGAGAATTCCTTCATGTCTGATCTTAGACCACCAATGTGGAACCTCCACAATTCTGCAAAAACCAATTATATTCTTCACAGAAATAGAAATTTAAAAAATGAATCCTAAAATGTACAGGCAACTACAAAAGACTCAGAATATCCAAAGCTAACCTGAGCAAAAACAAACAAACCTGGGGGAATTACATTATCTAATTTCTTTTTTTTTTTTTGAGACGGAGTCTCACTCTTGTTACCCAGGCTGGAGTGCAATGGCACGATCTCGGCTCACCGCAACCTCCGCCTCCTGGGTTCAGGCAATTCTCCTGCCTCAGCCTCCTGAGTAGCTGGGATTACAGGCACGTGCCACCATACCCAGCTAATTTTTTGTATTTTTTTTTTTAGTAGAGACGGGGTTTCACCATGTTGACCAGGATGGTCTCGATCTCTTGACCTCGTGATCCACCCGCCTCGGCCTCCCAAAGTGCTGGGATTACAGGCTTGAGCCACCGTGCCCGGCCCACATTATCTAATTTCAAATTACCCTCTACACCTGTAGTAACCAGAACATCATGGCACTGTGATTAAAAACAGACATGTAGCCCAGTGGAACAGAATAGAAACCCAGAAACCAATTCATGCATCTGCAGTGAACTCATTCTCTATGAAGGTGCCAAGCACATGCAATGGGGTAATGACAGTCTCATCAGTAAGGGGTGCTGGGAAAACTGGATATCCACATGCAGAAGAATGAAACCAGGCTTCTATTTCTTACCTTATACAAAAATCAAGTCAAAATGGATTAAAGATGTAAGTCTAAGCTGGGCGTGGTGGCTCACACTTGTAATCCCAGCGCTTTGGGAGGCCAAGATGGGAGAATGGCTTGAGGTCAGGAGTTCGAGACTCTCTGGGCAATGCAGTATCTCTGTCTTTTAAAAAACTAAAAACAGATTTAAATCTAAGACCTCAAATTCAAAACTAAAATAAAACAGTGGAAAAACTCCATGATATTGGACTGGGCAAATATTTCTTGCATAATGTTTTATAAGCACAGGCAACCAAAGCAAAAATGGGCGAATTAGGTCACATCAGGTTAAAAAGCTGCACAGCAAAGAAAACAGTGAACAAAGTGAAGTGACAATCCACAGAATGGGGGAAGGTATTTGAAAACTGACAAGGGATTAATTACCAGGATACTAAGGAGCTCAAGTAACTCCATAGGAAAAAAATATAACAATCGAATTTTTTAAATGGGCAAATTTTCTGAATAGACATTTATGAAAAGAGGACACATTAGGCAGGCTTGGTGGCATGTGCCTGTAATTTCAGCTGTTTAGGAAGCTTAGGTACAAAAATTACCTGAGCCTGGGAGGTCAAGGCTGCAGTGAGCTGTGATTCTGCCACTGCACTCCAACCTGATTGACAAAGTGAGACCTGTTTGAAAACTCTTAAGAAAGGCATACCAATGGCAAACAGGTATATGAAAAGATACTCAACATCAGTATCGTTGATGTTCAGAGAAATGCAAATCAAAAGTACAGTGAGAGATCATCTGACCGCACTTAAAATGTCTCTTATTGTAAAAACAGGTAATAACAAGTGCTGGCGAGGATGTAGAGTGAAGGTAACCATTGTATGCCATCAGTGGGAATGTAATTTAAATACAGCCACTACGGAGAACAGTTCGGAGGTCCTCAGAACTAAAAATAGAGCCACCATATGGTCCAGGAATCTCACTGCTGGGTATAAACCTAAAAGGAAGGAAATCAGTATATCAGAGAGATACCTGCCTCTCATGTATGTTGCAGCACTATTCACAACAGCCAAGATTTGGAAGCATTCTGAGTATTCATCAACAGATGAGTGGCTAAAGAAAATGGTTCATATACACAATGGAGCACTATTCAAGCATAAAAGAGAATGAGATCCTGTTATTTGCAACAACATGGATGGAAATGTTAAGTGAAATAAGCCAGACACAAAAAGACAAAATTCACCCATTCTCACTTATTTGTGGGAACTAAAAATTAAAACAATTTAACTCATGAAGATATAGAGTAGATGTATTGTTTGCAGCTGCTGGTAAAAGTAGTATGGAGGATGAGAGGAGTAAGGGGTGATGGTTAATAGGTGCACACATTTGGTTAGAAAGAATAAATAACGCCCTGTGCCCCTTCCCAGCCGCCCGGCCCGATTGCCAGCTCTCCTTCCTCGCACCGCCACCATGCTCTCCGTCTGCGTCCTGCTTGCGCCCATCACGGACCTGCAGCAGCTGCAGCTCTCACCGCTGAAGGGTCTCAGCCTGGTAGACAAGGAGAACACGCCCCCAGCCCTGAATGGGACCCGCGTCCTGGCCAGCAAGACCGCGAGGAGGATATTCCAGGAACCCGCTAAGCCGAAAACTAGAGCAGCCGCCCCCGGCTTGGAGGATGAGCCGCTGCTAAGAGAAAACCCTCGCCGCTTTGTCATTTTCCCCATCGAGTACCACAACATCTGGCAGATGCATAAGAAGGCGGACGCCTCCTTCTGGAGCGCTGAGGAGGTAGACCTGTCCAAGGACATACGGCACTGGGAATCCCTGAAGCCTGAGGAGAGATACTTTATATCTCACGTTCTGGCTTTCCTTGCAGCAAGTGATGGCATAGTAAATGAAAACTTGGTGGAGCGATTTAGCCAAGAACTTCAGATTACAGAAGGCTGCTGTTTCTATGGCTTCCAAATTGCCATGGAAAACATACATTCTGAAATGTATGGTCTCCTTATCGACACTTACATAAAAGATCCCAATGAAAGGGAATTTCTCTTCAATGCCATTGAAACGATGCCTTGTGTCAACAAGAAGGCAGATTGGGCCTTGCGCTGGATTGGGGACAAAGAGGCTACCTATGGTGAACGCGTTGTAGCCTTTGCTGCAGTGGAAGGCATCTACTTTTCTGGTTCTTTTGCATCCATATTCTGGCTCAAGAAATGAGGACTGATGCCTGGCCTCACATTTTCTCATGACCTTTTTAGCAGAGATGAGGGTTTACACTCACATTTTGCTTGCCTGATGTTCAAACACCTAGTACACAAACCATCAGAGGAGAGAGTAAGAGAAATAACTATCAATGCTGTTCGGATAGAACAAGAGTTTCTTACTGAGGCCTTGCCTGTGGAGCTCATTGGGATGAATTGCACTCTAATGAAGCAATACATTGAGTTTGTGGCAGACAGACATGCTGGAACTGGGTTTTAGCAAGGTTTTCAGAATAGAGAATCCATTTGACTTTATGGAGAATATTTCACTGGAAGGAAAGACTAACTTCTTTGAGAAGAGAGTAGGCGAGTATCAGAGGATGGGAGTGATGTCAAGTCCAACAGAGAATTCTTTTACCTTGGGTGCTGATTTCTAAATGAACTGAAGATGTGCCTTTATTTTGCTGATTTTTTTTTTCCATCTCATGAAAAAATCAGCCGAAGTGTTACCAACTAGCTACACCATGCATTGTCCATGATGTTCATTAACATCATCTTTAAAACTGTAGCTACCTCACAGCCAGTCCTGTTTATTTATAATGCTGGTGCTATCACCTTTTGCTAGCAGGCTGGCTGGCTGTGACTTACCATAGTCTTCTTGGCTTTAAAATGAGGGGTGACCTTCTAGTGAGCTTGACACAGCAGGATTAAACATTTCATTTAACCAGCACAGGCAGTGGAAAGATGCAGTCTCACTGCTTCAATGCAGATTTTAATGTTTACTTAAATATAAAACTGGCACTTTACAAATAAACATTTTTTGTACTCAAAAGATGATAATAGCTTGAT